TATCAATGTATCACACTTAAAAAAAAAAAAACATTTGAAATTTCACAGCAATATTTAAGAAGCCTTGTCCAATAATAGTTAAAGGAAAAAAAGAAAAACTTACAGTATTATTTATTTAACATTTTCCAAAGGTGAAAGATTGTTGAAAGTGTTGGCAGACACATGCAAATTCTTACATTTACAAATTTTACCTGCAATACTTCCAACCATTGAAAAATGTAACTATCAGAATTTGAATCGTAAAAAACATTACATGTAATGCAATGGCAAGAAATTTAACATTCGATTACCTCCAATGGCATACACATGTTAAAATAATGCATTCTGTAAACGAAAAGGTAAGCGGTTACACTTAAAAGTGGTTCCCCAATCGAGCGAAAATAATCTTGAGGCGACTTGTATTGCGTTACTCCATTGATACAAAAATAAGTCCTTCCCAAAAAAATTAAAAGTTTTTGCTGGGGACACGTACATACACACACACTAGGAATGTTAATCCCTGGATCCCGGTCTTTTTTAAGTCTCGATAATCCCGGGATCATTTGCCTAGAATCCCGGGATTTTCGGGATTTGTAATTTATACTGGTGGCAATAATAGAAACGCTTCATGTTGAACAGTTTTGGCTATATTTCTTTTGTTTATTTAATATTTAACATGTTTTTATAAATGTGTAGCTCAATATATGTTCATATAACACCTTGCGGCAGGCAATTTTGCACACACACAAAAAAAAAATCAATATATTCGCCAAACCAAGGGCCAAATATAATAAAATTGCCTTCTTAATTTTTCTCTCTGACGTCAGGATTTTTTAAACTTTGAAATTTGAAAGATATGAGTAATTCAAAAAATGATTTAAAAATTTCAGTGCAAGATACTTAAAAAACCAGTATGGGTATCAAATGAAGGAGACGATTCTGTAGAGTTAAAATACATTACATTTTTTGGTGCGTAGGGACGGGTACGTATTGAATTTTATAATTTATAATTTTATAATCCTATCCTCGGATATCCTTGAAATTTTTCAATTCTTGTTTTGAAAAAATTATGTGTTAAGGACTAACTTTATTAGCTTAAAAACACAAAATAGATTAAAGGGCCCTTTTCAATTTCTATTCGTTCTTGTGAACCCAAAAAAATTATGTCATTTGGTATCCATACTTTTGTTTTACATTGCACTGCATTTTATTTAAATAAATTTTGGAATTAACCATATCTTTGCAATTATAACGAGCCCTAACCGCCAAAATAACGTAAGTCACATTTTTTCAAAATTTCTCTAGGAATATTTCTGCATCAAAAAGAAAATTAAAGAAAAAAATTCGCTTACATTAGTTTGGCGGTTAGGGCTCGATAAAGTCTTTAAAAAAAATCATGACGTCAGAGAAATTCCCATTTACATGCAGTTAATTATGTGTAATATGAGGTAGACTTTTATAAAAAAATTTAAATTTTGGATAAACAAAAGGAATATAGACAAAACTGGTCGAATTAAGGCGCTTCTTTTATTTCTGCCACCAGTATTATAAACTTGTTTCAACTAGAAAAAAAATTTTTTTATTTAATTTTTTTTTGCATCGAGCTTTTTTCGACATAGCTTAAATTACTTTATCAGATATGTACACAATTAAGTATTATTATTATACTTATGAAATAATTCTGACTTTAAATTAAAAGTACGTTTCAAACCCATTTACTTATTATTTATTATATGGTAGGAGTGCTTCTCAAACCATATTGATGCAATTTTTTCATGTTAAGTCGTTGAAAAATAATAAATATCTAAATCAACCACCGCCAACCCCCAAAAATCCCGGGATCGTGAAAATCGAAAAAAATTAACATCCCTAACACACACATACCATAGGTTCAGGAAAACCAAATCGAATAAGCTGCTTGGTTGTTTCATCTTGCGGCGCATTTCCTGTACACATGAGTGAACAGGTACTGTTGCATACATTTAGGCGTATATGTATGTGTGTATTGGTCAGCATAGAGAACTACCGGAAGCAGTAAGCTCACCAAATGTGACATGCATTAACGATAACAAAGTAGAAGTCGAGATGTTAGTATGACAACAGGCGTATTTATTACAAGCGTTTACGATAATGTTTTTCCGGTTATTAAAAATCGCTTTGGGTTGAGAATACGTGAAAAAAAACAACCAAAAAAGGGAGGAATTATCAAAATAATTTGCAGCCCTACTTCCAAATTGGCGAAATATTAATTTCTATATGCCATCGCCATGGTGGGGCATTTTATCAATTCGCGTCTACTAACGTGACAATTTAAGTTGACTAAAAAAACGAGTGAATCAAGCGCTGAAGATAAAAAAACGTTAGTTAGCCGATGAAGAGTTAAGCCTACAACATACAAATAAAAAGTTAGTTGACAAATGAAATCTCACTTTGACTTAAAACTAAGCTCTATGGCAAGTATGTATGTATGTAGTGATTCAATGGAAAATAAGCAGTAATACAATTAAATTTATGTATATTGATTAAATAAATATAAGTAAGTAAGATAAGTAAATATCAGTTGTTTGTTGTTGGAACAACTCCAAATATAAATGGAATAGAAGCACCGGCGACCAAAGTAAGGATTTAAAGTAAGTTTAACTTTTACGAAGGAAAACAGTGAAACGAATTCGTCCCTATACACTTTTGATATGCCATCCCTGCAAAAATCGTTGGACCATGTAGTCTATTTGTGGTATATTGGAGTACTTACAAAAGTGCTCCTCTGTCATGCTGTAGCGGACCAACTCGTGTCTCTGCGCCAGCTTATTGTTTGTTACCCGATAACTGCTCGTGTTTTAACGAAATGTGATTGAAGTTGAGCATTTGAAAGCACATTTGCATGTCTGGCTGTAGCTGAACGTGTAGAGATGCTCGCTGTTAGTTGTGAGCTCCCAGCATGTTCGGGTTCAAATGCCGTCAGAGGCAACATGTAATTTTTAATTTTTGTCTTGGGTTTTATTAATTTCGAAAAAGCATATGAGAAGTGAAGAACAAAAGCGTGTACAAACGAAAAAATATAACAACAATGCCATTGTTAATATGTTGGAGTAGTTTTGTGCTACTCTGATGTAATGCAGGGATGGAGTATATGGTCCTGCCCTAGGACATCGCAATGTTAATTGGACCATATTTTTTTATATGAATTGTGGTTAATTTTGGAGTACTCCTTGGTCCTTCGGGAGTACTCTTTACATGCATGCATGGAGTAGTCGCGATTTTTGCAGGGATCTTATCGAGTAAATACTCAAATAAAATTTTTCATTGAAAGTCAATAATTACGAGTAGGAATGTGCCAGATAGAAATTTTGCCAGATAACCGGATTCCGGTAACCATGTAAGAAATAAGAGCCGGGTCCCCTTTATAAATTTCAGAATATTGTATGACCAGATTATCTGCTTTTTAGAGCTGAGGCAGCAACCGTACAAAAAAAAGGCATCGATTTAGAAATGGAAAAATATTTATAGCTACCCCTTATACCCAAACAAGAAGATCCTTTAATTTGGAGGAAGCATAATCGCAAAGAATTTCCAGATTTTCTTCACTGGCAATGAAGTATCTCTGCGCACCACCTTCGTCATTGAACTCAGAAAGAGTGTTTACTGTATCGGTTTAGTATTTAATTTTCTCATTTCATTACATTTATTTGTTTCTTTAAATACATTAGCGAATTAGGAATTAATCTTTTACTGCGCAATACAAATAAGTGAAGAAAGGAATAGGTTGTTAACCGATAATTTGGAAATTATCCTTTTATTAATGAACATTTTTTAACTTTAATTACTAATTAAATATTATTAAATTTGATCATAACAATACAAAAGAATGTTTTAACTACAATTTTAAATTGATTCTCATATAGTCGAAATCCGGAAATCCGGCCGGATTTAAACCAGTATCCCGCCGGATAGTCGGATAACAGAAAAATGGCGAGATAAGCCGGATTCCGGATATCTACCGGATACCCGGCTCATCCTTAATTACGCCAGTCTTATTTAAAATATAATAGGGTGTTTTTTTTTGTCCAGATTTGCACCTTTTGTTCGATTTTTATAAATTGGGTGTCAAATAAAAGGGCTTCAGCTGTAGATATGCAAAAAAGTTTTGATTTTTCGAAAAGAGTTGCGACCTGTTAAAAAATTAAATTCAAATTATTTAAAAAGTTTAACGAATTATGTATTACAAAATGGGTATCAATCGAAATTGGTTTTGAAATGCTTTGTTTCTTAAGTAAGAGGGTTGCCATCTGAATTAAGGGAATCAGGTCATTGAAATATGTATCAATATATGGGTACCAGACGAAAAAGGTTTCAGGGAAAGGTAGTGGAAAATATTTTGAAGAGCGTTGCCACCTATTGTGAGTAAAGTAAAATTTTGTTAACATATACAAAAGCTATATGGAATGTTAAAATGTTAAAATATGGGTGTCAAACGAATGAGTGGATTGGACCTTACACAATATGTCAGTGCTTGGACGAGCCTTATCCTCCGATTTTGTGGCTTTCACCTTGATGTTTTTTTTTTTATTTATGTTAGTCGGAAACTGGGCTCGATCCAGGTCATGCGGAATGCTATTGCTCACTTCGAACAACACCACAGCGGCCACATACATACATACATCCATATTCCAATTATCTTAAAACTGCCCCACTGTGCCTAAATGAAGTCATTGTATAAGCGTTACATAAGCGACAATTAGTTAGTCGAAATCATGTCATTCCACACGCCACGAGGTTGAAAAGCAATCTCATAAATGAACATATGTTCATATACAGTTAGTAAGTACGCACGCTGCCGCCGGTTTACGACATCGTTGACGCTCGCGTCTAGACTCTACTTATATTACATAGCATAGCATAGATTACTAAATAAACATCACTCAGTTATTTGAATCATATCGCGGTGAACTGATATCACCTACACGTGGTCGAAGTAGTGCTCCTCTTTGAGTAGAAATAAACATATGTACATAGATACTTACACAGATACATAAGTACGAATGCACATTAGATGAATGCATAACGTCTCAGGCCGACCTCCAACTTCTCTGCTCTCCTCATTTTATGATCAGAAATTAATCCGACGAATATCCGCGCTGCTGTCAAAGCTACTTACGAATGTTTTTTTTGTATGTACATACTCGTGCATATACAGATGTATGTATGTATGTAAATAGGTGCCTGTGGGTTATGCGCCGCCTCGTCACCAGCCTGCCACCAGCCGATTGCTTCTACTACGCATTAGCCGGCTGGCATTGCGTCCATATAAAATTCCGATTACAAATACAACAAAATTATAGCATGCATGTTTCAGTTGTATTCCAATTCTCGTTAAGATCACTTTCGCTGCTGATTTCCTAATGAGTGAGTGTGCCTTAGTATTGTACATTTATTTGTAGACAAACATATGTCAGTGTATAAATAAACTGTGACAACAACAAAATGCAAACACAACGAGTTAAATTCTAAAAATTGTTCTCATTATATAATACATCTACTTCCATACATACATACATACATATGTATATATATACAACGAGCGCACTGCACTTAGTTATATAACGGCATTGGATCTCCTACACTTGGCTGGCCTGGCGGTTTCTGGCCATTCTCTGCTATTCCGTGGGGCCATTGCGTTACCGAAGCACCTTTCGTATGCATCACATTTGATTGTGAACGAACGAAAAACCGAGCGTTCGAGTCTTTCTGGGAACATTGCAATACTTAACTCGAAAATATCAACAATAAAATACAGGGCTGGCTGGCGCGGGTGTATTCAAGGCCCCTGCATACAATTTTTTCCGTGAAGCAATACTCGAGTACAGACCACAAGCGCAGTGCGCGGTGCAGTGCAGTGCAGTGAGAGTGGTGCGAAGTGAAGTGCGGTGTTCTAAAGCGTCTTAAGTGCTACTTGTCATTTTTTCGTTGTTTTTTTTTTCCCCTATAGTCTTCTACTTACTTGTACTTTATTGACAACAAGCACACATGTCTAGTGAGCATGGACGTAGTCGCCTGCCCGGCAAACGGCCGCGTGTCAGCAAAGTGTTGAAGCGTTTGCAAAAACAACAATGCCAAATCATGGATTTGTCAATGAGAGGTGAGTGCAATGCAGTCAAAATGACGTACTATCATTCATATGTATGTACATATGTATGTATGTACCTATGTGTATGTTTTCTTTTTTAGAATACACGCTCGTACCTACATATGTACATACAAATGTCAACCATTTGTTGAGTAGCCAAGTCCTTTGGGATATAAGAATACAGGAGTAAAAAACGTTGATTCAGTAAAATTTTGAAGTTATGTACATACATATATGTATTGGTATGTATTTGTCCTACCACCTTGCAGGAAAAAAGTTCCCCGTGCAACTTTGAGTCTAAAGTATTTTTGAGTCTTTTCTTTTTTGGGTGCCACATATGTTGGCAATAAATTTTTTTGTTCTCAAAATAGTTTTCTTGGAGTAATCGAAACACTTCCTGTGCAAAAGTGTAATGATTTTCGGCGAGCTGCAATATATTGACATTAGGGTGGTACATTATGGTGATAAGAACGGGTATGTGATGGGTAAGTAAAACAGGATATTTGTGGTCAATAATCATTGACAAAAAAAAGTCCTAATTTGAGATCGGACTGTAAAGGCGTTCCCACGTACGGAAAAAAAGAAAAAAAAATCGAAATTACCCTGCAAAAATCAGGGACCGAACATAACAGTTATTGATGAAAACTGTCATTGACAAATTCACTATGAAGAAAATGTTCTACTACTAAGTGAAACATACCAATCGATTTCGTTTTGCACCGATACTCAAATTTGAAAATAAATTTTTATTTGCAATTTTTATGCAAAATTTAAAAAAATAACAATTATATTTGATTTTTATACTATAAATCCAAAATAACAATTATTTTTGATTTTTATATTATATGGCTTAGATAACAGTTATTGAAGAGTTTTATTTATAAAAGTCATAAATAAAAATCAGTCAGTGACTTTTACTTTTAAAAGTCATTAATATAAATCAGTGACCGACTTTTATTTTTTAAATCAATCGTATAAAAGTCATTAACATTTTTCGCAGTTAAGAAGGTGTTGGAAAACAAAAGTTTACTACGACTTATTCAAATGACTTTTATAAGTAAAAAAAAAAATAAAGATCAGTGACTGATTTTACTTCTATAAATAAAAGTCTTCGATAACTGTTATTTAAGACATATAATTTAAAAATCAAAAATAACTGTTATTTGCAGATTATTTAAATAAAAATCAAAAATCATTGTTATTTTCGATTTATAAAATAAAAGTCAGAAATAACGGTTATTTAAAGAGTAATTAAATAAAAGTCAAAAAATACTTGTTAAAGAGTGATTTTTTTAATAAAAGTTGTAACTGTTACGGTCCCTGGCAAAAATACTTTTTTTCTGGTTCGGCCTAATACACATACATACGTACATATGTATTGTTATTGTCCATAAAAAGGTATGTTTGGACAACGAGCAGCTCGTTAAAGTAGGTAATACTAGTGTTAACATTGTGTCGTGCGTAAACATTTGACAGCTGTATGCCCACAGTATCTATTATTAAAGTTAAAAAGTTAAAGTTAAAATATATTTACGAACGAAAACGATAGGGTAATAATACCATAAACGATAACTTTAAAGATAAAAATATCGTTAACGGTGTGGTTGAGATATCTCAACGAAATTTGGTATATAGATTGCCCTTTATCCAAGGAAGGTTTTTATTGCTATTGAAAATGGGCGAAATCGGACTCTAACCACGCCCCCTTCTCATATGACGGTGTTTTCGAAAAATGCAAAAACTATAATATTTCAGTAAATATTGGATCCAAATTGTTGAAAATTAGTATGTGAAATAGAATTTTGGTACAAAATAATATTATTATGAACTTTTTGAAAAAGGGGCGTAACGCCGCCGACATATGGTGAAATACTGTACCTTAGTAGCCGCTTCACCAATCCTTTCCAAACTCGGTATGAGCTTTGCTTATATTATTATAAATTTTTAGATTTTGGGCGTGGCGCCGCCCACTTACGACCACAAATATGTGTCTCGGTAACCGATTTATCAATTTCTGCCAAACTCGGTGCACTTAATTACCTTGGCACGGAAAAGCCATTCGTTGAAAATTATTCATATCGGACTAAAATTACAACGGGTTCCCGTATAATCGTAAATTTTAGACATGCGAAAACTCTGATATTTCAATAACTGAAGACGCTAATTTACTCCAAGTTAAGAGTTACAACCTCAACAACTCTTAACAATAAATAAAACTGTTGTAAACTTTTAGGTAGTTGATACTTACACCGGGTATATAAAATTCGGTTTCGCCCGAACCTATACTTCTTTACTTGTTTTTTTTTTTTTAATTTGTTCTGTACGCGGATGGTTTAAAAATAAAAATATTTAGAGAGATGCCACCAGTTTGAAAATTTCTGTTTAAGCAAACTGCTAAGATAAAAGGTGCAATCCCGTATTCTTCGGACTAAAACTAGTATAACTGTCAAAAAATACAAATTCGATCAGAACGAGAGAGTAACATTGAAAAGTACGGGATGGCTTTTGAGTGAAAAACGGTAACTTCTGTCAACTTCAACATAACCTCCAAATTTTGGTTGTAAATTTTTGCTTATTTTGTATGTAAACACGCTCAGCTCACACATGTAAATAACCAAAAATACTTTCAAATTCATTAGAATCCACTTAAACAAGTAATTAAATACTTTTCAACATGAATTAGCAGAGTGTACTTCACTTTTGTTTACAATTTGGTTGCCAAACACACTACAGCTGATCGTTTGACACATTTATCAGAATTTACCAGCAAAAATTCTAAAACTAGTAACTTCTGACAGAGAGAGAACCGTATTGACTCTCTTTTTTGTCCTCTCAATAGTCAGAGAGCCGAGTACAGGATCGATTTCCAATAAAATCTCTGATTCTGACTATTTCTGACTAGTCCGGACTCATACGGGATCGCAACTAAAGTAAATATAGCAATCAGCAAATTTTATAGGAGGGTTGCCACCTGTTTGAAAATTTTAGTTTAAGTATATTGATAAGATAAAGTGAATATTTTAATATGGGTGCCAATAGAAGGCTTACTGCCCAAAATAATTTTAAGGAAGGTTGCCACCTATGTGAAAAACTAAATTAAATTGAATTGATAAGATAAATTAAATATTACATTATGAGCACCAAGCTAAAGAGGCTTAAGAACCGAAAATATTTTTGGAGGAGCATTGCTACGTTTTTGCAAAGTTTTATTTGATTAAATTGATAAGATGAATTAAATATTACAATAAGGATATCAAACTAAAGAGGCTTTAGAAAGTTTACTGTCGAAAATATTTTTGGGCGGGTTGCCAGCTATTTAAAAAATGTTTATTCAATTTAATTGTCCAGGCAAATGAAATGGGTATCTCAAACGAAAGGTATTTGAGAAATCTTTGATTTTTTTATATAAAATATTACAAGATTGGTACTAAATGAAAGGTTTTTCAAAAAGCTTTGCTAGACAATTTAAAAATTTTAATGAAGAAAAAATTTACCACAAAAATGTACCTTCTAAATAAATGTATAGTACATCCAAAATGAATGAAAAGAATAAAATCGATTTTTAAAAAGCTTTATAAAGTGAGGTTTTCATACAAATTTTCGGGTGCCAAAATTTTTCTCACCGTGTAGTACTTTCAAATCGAATTCCCAATCTGTTTAGCAAGCATTTGAGAACCTGTCGCAAGCTAAGTGTAGAGAAGTTGTTGGCCGTCATACTTATATCAAATAAATTATAATCGTGTGATTGTTTTTGTTATTCAATTTTATTATAGCTTATGCAAGAGTGCCTGTGTATGTATATGAATGTAATGGAGCAAATTGCGAAGTACACTTCTCTCAGTATTACATCATAATTACATACAATCACTGCGCTTATGTAAATATGTATGTACTTGCATTCTGTAAATGTACAATTGGGGTAATTAAATAATAAACTTACCCAAGTAAGTAACTAGAATGTGTGACTGTTTAAAAGTATACATATGTATATTTGTGTTTAAGTAATCTGTTTCACGTAATATAATTCTATAGTTGCTAATTGAAGTTCTTTACTAAAACTATGTGGAAGGTAAAACACCTAAAAATGAATTGATTTACATATAAATCGAGATTTCCATCGGTTTATGTATCAAAGAATATGTATATTGTTAACGACATCGAGACACAAGTTATCGGCATATTTATACACATATCAATAACGGTATAAGTATATTTATCGATATGACATACTTTACTTGTAGGGTTTTCTAATCGTACTTAAGAGCAATTATTTGTTATCGATGCTGATCAGCCATCAGCAGCGCTGCCTGAATAGAGTTTCCCCAAAGTACGAAACGCGTACACATATCTGCATGGGACCGTTCGTTAAGCTGAAAATTCGTCATATCTACGGTGACCAGATTTTTGTAATCAAAAATCGGAATATTTATAAAGCATCTAATCCGAATATACAATTTTGTTTTTAGAATTAAAAAGACATAACATCTTTTAATACAGTTTTATATAAATCATAACAAAGAGAAAAAAACATAAAAATGATCGCAAATGGCGAGAATATAAATAAGGAAAAGACATTTTAGCAACTTTTGGCTACTTTTCAT